ATATAGAATGGAACATATATTGAGGAGATATATATACACACATACAGAGAGCATAAACAGGTGGGAGTTGTCTTACCAACTCTGAGAGGCCAATTAATTAAGAGAAAAAAAAACTTTTGAAGTGACAATCAAGATAGCCCAGTACAGACAGTTTGATAAGAAGTGTGAGCATACTTACAAGGGGAGATAGATTTTCCATATCCCTTCTCTTTCCATTTCCCAGATTCCATTCCTATACACACTTATAACCTGATTTTCACAAGTGCTAAGCAACCACAGCTTCTTCTGGCTACAATGAATTGTGGATGCTCAATAAACCTGAACAATCAAGCTAGTCGCCCTGTTTGGTACAGTTATTTGAGGCAGGCTCTTCGGGTTAATTTTAAAACACAGCTGAAGATTTATTTGTCCTATTTATTTTTAGGTTTTTATTGTCTCTTGATTGACTATTTGTGCTTCTTGTTTGAGCAATTACTGAAAAGTCCTTTGATACATGTGGCTAAATAAATTAATGAATAATGATAGAGTTAAAAAATAAACCTTTGTGCAAATTTTCAATTACTCACAGTTTCATGGAGAAAATAAACTATTATAGGCAATTACCCATCCTTTCAGCTTCTCACAAGTAATATTCCACCCCTTTCCTAGATATACTATTAAAATCTGAGGACAAAGCATGGTCTAATATGCAGGATACTGGCCTGGGAGTCGGGAAATCTTCATTTTATTCATGGCTCTGCCACCTCACTTGTGTGACTTTGAGAAAATCATTTCATCTCTCTGTGCCTGGATTTCACCAACTGTAAAATTAGGATAATGATTCCAGCCTTTGTAAAGTGCTTTGAGATCTCTGGATGACAAGTGCTGTACAACTGTTAAGCATTATTATTATTATGGGGTTATACAAAAAGCAAGGAGCTGCTTTACTACTACACCATTCAAAGGAGGGTGAAATGGGGGTCAGCTTCACCACCTGCAGAAACCAGGAGTACAATCTGCAACCATCTACTCCTGTGGGGCAGCAATGCCAGAAAGGGAGGACAGGGGAAAGCCAGCTACAAACCTGCCTGAAACCAGGGTACGTAGTCAGCACAGCAGCTGCCCATGTTATCATGGCTGCAATACTATTTATACTTACACTAGCTCTCATCAAGCTACTGTGAGGGTACATAAGCAGGGGAATCACACCACTAGCTTGTAGTATAGACATAGCCTTGCATCAGCTGAACCTATGATTTTATTTCTTTAACTTGATAGGTTGGTGCAAACTGCTTCCACTTTCTGCAAAGTCAGAAACCTAGTTTCTTCTCAGGAACCTCCTTAAATAGCCCCACATTTAGAACTACCCACTATAAGAGCTGGAATTTCTAACTAGCTTACAGTATCTCTCTCATTAC